GAGATGATAGTTTAGGGCCTAAAATGAAATCATATAAAGTTTAGTTCAGATCAGATTAGGGAATATTGAATTATGGGACAGTAAAAGTGGGAAATATTTTGTGCACGTTTTTATGAAAATGTCTCCCTAATGACCCATGAGCGGTAATCATTATTTATGATGTTATTTCAACAGTAAAAACAATGATCTGCATGAAATTGAACAGAACCATGACAAAATAGGGTTCTCCAATCTGTCAAGGTGAATATTTCTAAGGCTTTCAGCATTGCCAATGCAATTTGAACTTTGCAAAGTACATTATAGTGATCAGCATTATGCTCCCCAGGAAAGTGATTCACAAATGACCTCTGGAAAAAGGGTTAATTCTGGTGTGTGAATTTTAGCCTTTTCTGTATGTATGATTCCATTTATGTCAGCAATAACACACATTACCTACATGTACAAGTAACTTGGACCAACAGATGGCATTGAACCCTGCTAGTTCTCAGATATTCAGTTTCAAAATTTCCAATTCTTTCAGTCGATACTAGGACAGAAGAGTGGCTACACCCGGGTACCAGCCTCCATATCTGTGGAGGATTTTGAGAGGTTGATAGCAGCATTACAAACAGCACGGGAGCAAACCCTTCAAACCCGACGTGCCTCGAGGATTTCTCAGTCAGACACAGTTTCCATTGGGTCAGTGGCAATTTGATTTTTTTTTTACCTGATTTGCCGGATGCTTTTTTCTCAGAACTTCCCCTAATCTACATTAATTTGAGACTGCGCGAATGCTGTGGTGCGTTATATACCAAACAAACTTGTTAATTGTAACAAAATTCTTGTGCGGGGGGAGAGGGGAGGAAGTGCGAGGAGTCAGATGGTACACAGCTGGGAGGGGGTGTCCGACTGTGGTACTATTCTGACTGGGTGGTTGGTGGCCAGTTGGTGGAATGAAGTTCCAAAGACAGTGTGTTACGTGCTCTTGGATAATTCACTGGGTTCTCAGTTGGTGGATTTCAAGGCACATCCACGCGGCGGCAGAAAGTTTCGGGAACAACATAAAAAAGAAAAAAAAAAAAGTATTCTGTACATGTGACAATTCAAATGTCTGTCTCTCAGCGTCATTACATACTGAGAGATCCCTATAAAATGATATGCTAGTTTGATCCCTAGAAGGTCATTCAGAAAGGTCTATCTAACAGGAACGAATAACCCATATGTTCAGTGTTAAACTGTTTGGTTCCACACATTACACAAACTCTTGAATTAAAAACACTTTTACCCCTGAACCTGTACAGGCCGAAATTAAAACAAAATATACCGACACAAGAGGGCGGTCTTCAAGATCATACTACTGCATTACGGTGCTGATCTCATCATGAATTTTTCTTCACCAGGGAACAAACTGAATTTCTGATAAAATGCCTACGAAGCACGTGCACTAAAGCTTACTGTGCTTCCAAATATTTGTCAAACATGATAAAACTATGTATAAACACAGGGAAAGTCTTGCCTACGGTCGGCATTACCCGGAGCACATCGTACAAGCTACATCCATCATGGTTATGTACAGCAATTAATGAAGGCGCCATGTTTGCAAAATCACTGCCCTTTTTCGTCTTTAGATTAATCACTTTTAAGGAATGTCAGCACCTCTATTTCTTTATGTTCAAACTCTACATTCATGCAAGATCAAACAAGTAATAAATTAGATTACTTTAACATTGGTACAAGTAGTTAAAATTGCATACCTGAGTTGGTGGATTACAAGGCATATCCACGCGGCGGCGACAAGTTTCTGGAACAACCCACCGCCGCGCGATGGCGCCCCACTTACCCACCAATCGAAGGATGCCAAGCAAGGATAGGATATGTTATTAGTGTCCAATCCATTCCTGTCACTAATTATTGTCATAAGGACTGGAAAAATAAAACAGAAGAATTCAAGAGGCTTGGGACTTTTAGCAAGAATGCTCCTTATATTAAGGATGGAGTGTATGTGGGACACTATTTCTTTCCTGCAAAGTCCAGATGTTGCATAGACATGCATGCAAGGGAGATGCTATTACCATCAGCTGACAAATCTGCTCTAGTCTGATGTTTTTGAAAAGATATCTCCTTGAAAACCATTTTTAGTTCATTTTTGTTGTGACTTTATAAGTATTTGTTGTTCAAGTACCAAACTCTCCGTCAAATACTGAACTGAATAGAAGGGAGCAAAGCTCAGGGACACGAACATTGGACAATTAATGTTCCAAGGTAAGATTACAAATAAAGTTGTGACTTCAGATCATCATTGTTTAATAAGTTTTTACGACAAAAGTGCTCAAAAAGTACTCGGCCAAGTACTTTTCAATTACTTTTCCTCTTACACTTAATTTTTTATAAAACTTTGGAGTCTGAAGTCTTAACCACTTCCTGCCGGGGGCATTTATGAATGTTGATTCTGCTAGGTTTGAGTATTTTTCATTTTTTTCTGTTTTCAGAATTCTTTAAAATTTTGTATCTTCATTTACTGGACTCTTACACCCACAAGAAAGACTATCTGGTTCTACTCTAATCTAACAGACGACATCTATTGACGCTGGTGTTTTTCAGCCAGGCCTGCAGCCTTGTAAAAAGAGCCCGATGTGGTGTGCGATGTCACATAATTTTATTTTGTTCCCAAAACTGGCACAGTGCGCTATTGACATCTTTTCAGTAGGGGCCAGATTAACATGCAGCGGTACTGTGTAGCTCATTGCTGTGGTGGTGGAGTGCTCTTGTCCCGGTGGTAATCTGCTCGCACTGAATGCCCCAAACAATGGTATACTGTTTCCAAAAAAATGCTGGATTATCTCCACTATTGAGAGTGAAAAAATGTTGGTAATTCCCAGTAGCCTGGACCTTTGTTCCAAGTACGGTCTTTTGTTACAAGGCCCAGTTCTCTTTGTCCGATTTCGAGCATATATGTGCATATAAAGAATACGTGTTGGAAACCGGACTCCCCTGCAGCAAGTGGTTAAATTTATTTTGTTATCTTGCCTTTGTGCATTTTACATTCCCTACCCATGTTCTTGAGCTTTGTTCTGTCCTAACTTTTCAGTATTTTACAGAGAATTTGGTACTCAAAAGAACTTGACTACAACACTGGAGGTATGAATTTAGTATACAACTACTTTCACCAATTAATCTGAAAGAATAGTCAACCACTGTTCCAGTCGTAGTTCATTAAAAGACTAGTCACAAGTATCAAAGTGAGTGAATGATGACAAAAGAATGCATTTGTTACAGTTCATTTGAATACCTTGTGACTTGACTTGAAGTTAGATGACTTGTGAATGACATGTGTTGGACTTGCGGGGACTTATAATGGACTCAATTACAACACTGTTTAAAGGTTAACAGGAATCGAAAACATTTAGTTCACATGAAGTATTTCAAAATAACAATAAATACATAACCATTTCAAAAACCTCAGAAATTCATAAAATGTTTACCCCATTAATTATGACCCCAAAATGAAAAAAAAATATCCTGCATTTCCCCACCCACCAAAAAATCCCTTTTTTGCCATTTACACTCGTAGGTTGATTTGATGACGTCATTAGCAGAACGCCTACATGTACAGGTAGAAATTACAAGACACAGTCATATTCTGTATTTCTTGAACTGAGACAGCGTTTGCCTGTGGGTTAAGGTACATCAAACACAACGTGGTCTATTGCAAGCATGCGATACTGCATGTACCGTGTGCAATCATGCAATGTACACATACACAGTACACGGTAGGCGTTCCGATGATAAGATCATAAAATCAGCCTGGGTGCGTGAACGGGCTAAGGAGATTTTTGGTGGGCAGGGAAACACAGGATCTTTTCATTCATTTTTGGGTCACTATTAATGGTGTGAACATTCAGTTTGTGATGTATTTGAAATGGTTACATATTTATTGTTATTTTGAAATACTTCACGTGCACCATATGTTTTCAATTTCTGTTAACCTTTAATTAGTATGTGGGTAATTCCAGAAATTAGGGGTCCTTTTTTTCAATGGCCCTATTTATTTTGAAAGTTCAGAACACATTTTCTAATTTCCAGAAGTGATAAATTAATGCAAGTTACCTGCCAAACAAATAGTACTAGTTTGAAAATGATTCCGGTGATATTTCCATGTCAAATAACAAAGGTCAGATGTAACAAGGACACGAAAATGTGATAGTTTTGGACCCCTAATTTCTGGAATTACCCTTAGTACTAATTTATTTGTTGCAGTGAAAGCCAAGAGAGTCATGAAAGGCGTTTGAGTACTTTGTCAACTGTGACAGAAGGCAAGTCTTCTGTTAGTGATTCAATCAAAAAGAGCCTCGGAACAACAATAGAAGAAGGTGATGAACAACCACAGCAAGCAGGGCGATCCAGGAAACTGTCAGACAACAAGAGGCCCCAAGTTCAGTGAGTAAAACGCTCTTGTGTGTGACAACATTTTGATAAAAGTATTCATATACTTTGTGTTCATATGCTTGCAAATTCTTTGGAAGTGTAATTTAAACTTTCTGTGTTATTGATGAGGTGGTTTGCATTCAATATGTTTCATTCAGAGTGTTTTCAGTATTACTGGTAAGTCACAATACAGCTGTGATAACAAGGTACGGGGTCTTAAGAAGAGCCTATGTCACAGGGCATTTAAGGAACACTGACATGACTTGAGATTGGATACGTGACTGACTTGTTACTTGAAGTGGACTTGTCTACAGAACACATGTATACTGCATGCAGTCAACATGCTAATACATGTGTACATGTACGTGTGCATTTTTCTGTGGTACATGTACATGTGATTGGAATCCAGAATACACCTCATATTGCTCATATGGGCAAGTTAACAGTGCCTTCAGTTGTGCTTACACAGAAAACAATGTCACAGCATATTCCTTATGTTTAGATTCAGGCTTCATTTTGTCAAGTTCAGTGCAGATCTGTTTCCTGCTGAAAAAGTATTCTGCTCTTTTATGTTAGGCAATTCTTGGTTCTATCAGCAAAGGTTTGAAACTGTCTAACGTAAGATGAAAGTGATAGAGACATTCAGAAAAAAAGGCTTGCATGATTCAGTAAGCACCAGTAGACACCAACAGCTGGTGTGCTTGGCATGTATGCTGAATGCAACCATAGCTACAAACTATTGCAGAAGTTGTTGAGGTTGAGTGTTGTGAATAGCGTCACCCTAGATCACTTGATGCGGCATGTTATTCAGCCAGATGAGTGGAAACTTTAAATGCACAAATTCAGTTAGCCAGACATTGTTCAAATGCTTTGTTTCAAGAGTAGGTTTTGCGTGTTTGTTTTTTAGTAGTAGTATGTCACTTCATAAGTACAGTATGTCAGTGAAACCAATGGTTCAAGTTTTCATTCAGCACAGTAAGGCAAAAACTAGTCAGTCTCTGGTCAGCGCACGCATCGCTTTTGAATGAGAGCGTCAATTTTTTGTTTCATTTTTTTCTCAAAATTTTCAAAACAGACCTCTATTTCCGCACCACCTGAATGTTTGCGAGTAGACTGATTCCTGGCCACAAGTCCAAAGGGCAATTTATTCAAGGAACCAGACTAATTCTTAGGTACTGTAGCTTTTACCCGGTGATAGATCCCTTACAATTGCATAATGTTGATGTCAAACACAAAGAGTGGACCATGGGTAGGTTACAGCCAGCAGCCAGTAAGTTGCAGCCAGCTGATCAACAACAATGGCGGCATGACATCATCAGTTCTGGAACTTTGGTCTGACCAGAGACCGAGTTTTTTGGGGGGCCTAAGAGTACTTCTTTGTTGAAATATTTTTTCATCAACATTTGATTTGATTGGTCAGTCCTTTTGCCTTGTAATGAACAGAACATACACTTTGAATCATGTGTGTTTGTGTGAGCTGAATGCATGCGTGTTCAGTTTTAACAGCTCATCATTTAACATCTGGCATTTGTTTTATGACTTTGTCAATATGAGATATTTTAATAAAGTGAGGTCACATACATGTGTCTGCATGTATGTAAAAAACAAACTTTGGATACATGTTCCCAAGAGAAAGATGTTTGTACTGGAAATTATGCACAAATACCTAAATATAATCTGGAATGGAAAACGTTGAAATGAAGACATTGAATTTACATGTACAACCAAATATTCAAAACAAATTTCTTTGAGGAAAGAATTCTGTGACTCCTCATGGTACCCAACAGTACATGTACGTGGAACTTGGTACCAAAAATGTATGCACATAAACTAACAAACATTATATTACACTAACTATGCATACATGCTTGATTGTGCATTACTAACAAGTCGTGTCTCTCTTTTTTGATTTTGTCACCTGCTTGCTTTGGATAAACCCATAGCTCTACGGCTCATCTTCGAGAGAAAGGTACCCTCATGGTAAACGTGGTTAGAGCCACCGACATGGTTAAAAGACGGTAAATGATACTTTAATCAGGATTAAAATAACTAACTGGGAACAGGCTAGTTAATTGAAAAGTGACATTAACAGAGGAAGGTGAAGGAAGCTACATGCATCAAAAAGAGTGCTGACATTCTTTATGGAAAAACACAATGCAATGCTGTGGTTAAACAGAACAGCCAGGTTAACATAAAAAGTGAAGTAAATCAGTTATAATGTGATGAAATTACTTAAATGTTAACCTGGTTGAGAATCATTGTTTGGAGTGCAGAAATGTTTGCCCCAAAATATACATGTATTGTACATAGTGTCTTAAATTTGGCTCAGATATTTCCGTACAGTTTTCCATGTTAAGAAAATTAGATTGCTTGCATGCCTGTCTGTCAATCATACTCCATCTTCTTTACCCATTTATCCCTCCCCCCATCTCATGTATATGCATGCATACCTTATTGACAACTAAAGCTGGCCAACAACTCTACTACTACTCATGTGAGTATTCAGCTTTGGGGGTTTTCAAGTTGGAACATCCTCTCTGTCTTTCTAAGCTTCACGCTTTAGTTCCACAAATTTCACTCCCCTGAATTGAGACCTTTTTGCTTGATGCAGCTTTGCTTCGTGGTACTAAAAAATCAGTTGCTTCAGCCAAAGTTTGGTTACCTTTATTTCTGTCTGGGTCCAACGGTAAGCACACATGTAAATGTGAGCATGAAAATGAAGCCAAAATCAAAGGTAAGCCCAAGATTTGGAAAAAAGTCCTATGAGTGCTCAGTATTGCCCACTATTCACTTTTAATCAAGCTCTTGAAAGATTCTCATTCGCGTTTGCACTTGTTTCCTTTGCATGGTAACCTAGTGACAGCACTGGATTTAACAGTATGTTGTCTGTTGTCTTTCTTCTTCTGAGTTGGTTTTAGTTTTTTGTTTTGTAGTGTCTTTTTTGATGAGAGCAGAATCATTTTCATTGAATGAGGGCTTTTTGAAGTTATACATGCTTGCATTTAGCATTTGATTTTGCCAAATTACTTGCAACAATGAATAAAGATGTGGGTGTTACAGAGTCTTCTGTACTGAGACATATTCAGTGAAATGACACTTCATTCTTCATGAGTCATTCAAGATGATGGTACTTACACAAACAGGTCATGACCAGTGAGTTCCCCTTGCAGTGCAGAAATTCACCAAAAGTATCATGAGTCATTCCACCAGAAGTAGCAATGTATTAACAATACAAAATGGATCAAGAGGGTTGGAATACTTTATATTAAACATATTTGAATATTTTGTAACTTGATGACAGTAAATATAGGATTAGTCATGTAAACTGTGATGATCTTGGCAAACAAGTCTTGTGGTGTTGCCTTGATTGCAAAGAACATACATGTACTACATGTACTGACTGCCATCTGTTGTGTTCATACAAATTATAGGCACCTACTTGCCTTTTCCAAGCCTAAACCTCCATCACCATCTGTCCTTGCACAAATAATTTAGTGCCATCATATGTTTGATATTTTACAGTAGTTTTTCTGTATGTTTCATTGCCAGAGTTGTTCACGATCAAAATGTCTGATCCATTGTACGTTGGACATAGTCTTGGAATTCAATATTTTGCTATTTTTTCTCAATCTTACTAATTTCAGCACTTCTTGAAGTTTAAATGTCACGTTAACGTGTACTCGGTATTCTTCAGTTACATGATATTATGCTGCTAATTAAATGTTCATATATTTTTTATTTTAAACTTCAGATTTGCACTTTAATACACAAGATTTAAAAAAAAAGACATGAAAATTAAGCTAAATTGCTGAAACTTCTGGAGTGATTCCGGGCATGTTCCATTTGTTGATCCAAGGAAAAATTGAATGTTCTAGGGATCCAATCCAAAGTTATGTACATGTACAGCTGTATTTGGAGTCAATGAGCTGACTGTTACCTTAAATACATGTACATGTAACTGTCTTGCAAACATAAAAACTATTTGGAAAAAAAGTTTTGAAAGGGCACTTAACTCTTTTGGGGCTCATTCCTTTCTTTTGTAATACTGAATAAGCAAAAGATATGTTTTTTATTATTTGAAAAGAAAAAAGCAGACCTTTTGTAAAAAGCGTGCACCTTCTGGTTGTGTTAATTGCCAAATTTGTTTTGGCAGAAACGTTCTTTGTGGAAATTGTACTGGAAGAGGTAAATGTGGAATTTCCCAAAGTTCCATATCTGATTAAAATTCTAATAATGAGTGATACATGTGGATGTTGCATCAAGAATATGGTATGCTGAGGGATTTTTCAAGTGCAAAAGTTTACAGCTTTTCACAACATTCCAAAGAAAAGATCAGTGTGGTGTTCTGCATGGAGTCAACATTTTCCGAACATCACTTTGCATTTTTATAAACAAGTACATGACTGCCAAATACATACGAAGGTTTTATTTATAAAGTTTGTATGCAGTCTTTTGAATAGATATAAACATCTGAAAAATATTGTTTCCACCTGAAGCACCAAATTACTTTTCACACAGTAGCAAGCTCTGAAATTGTCCTTTAGATGATCAAAGAAGATTCAGGGTTACTACATGTATAATAATAAAAATCCAATTTTCATCACCTTTTGAAGGACAAATTATGACGAATTATTCCTGTCAGAAAAGCCATTTCTGTTCTGTAACTGCCTGTTTTAGGAAATGGACTATACCTAATCTCTGTGCGCATCTTGATATTGCAGAGATGACACCATTGAGGGTGGAGGGGTATTTGATTCAGATGCTGAGCTAGACAAGTACACAGAGAAGGAGTATGACAATGACTTGGGCTTGCTCAAGAATTGGTTTCAGCTGGATGAAAACTGTGTTCCTCCTTGCTACAAACTGCAGAGTATAAGGTCAGTCCAGAGTCATTATAGGCCCAGGAATGGTGGGAAACTGAAATTATGGGGGAGGCATCAATTTACGAGGACCTAAGTTGTGGTTCACAAGCTTGTACTTTAGTTGCACATTGAATCAGCAGGTTGTGGCTTTTAGGAAGGCTGACTTTTCCAGTTTTGCAGAAATTTTATTATTGCTGGTCTAATTTTCTTGAGGGAATAAATATATGCTTGGCAGTATTAAATGTGCATTTAAGACCGACTCGGGAGAATGGCTGTGACATAATGCCTGAGCTGCAGGTGAGGGCATGGTCAACATTCATTCTCCTGAGCCGGTCTGACCAAGCACATATTTATTCCCATTTATAAATACCTTTTTGGTCAGAGAGTCTAAAAGAAGTCAATATATGACGGATTCCCAAGGATTTTGTTCTAGAATTTTACTTTTATTTTGCTGAACACCCCTGTCCATTTTATGATAGATTCCTTTTACAAGTTGTCCAATAGAATCTCCTTATATATTGGTGCGTACGTGGTGAGCCGTGTGCACACAAACTCTTGTCCAATCAGAATCAATTAAACTATCTCGCACTCAGGTGCCAGCGCGTAGGCATCATCAGTTCTCAGTGGGCATTATCAAATGTCAGTACATGGTCAAGTTGCATGTTGTTGAATAGGGAGACTGTCTGAGGTACATGTATTTCTGAATTCTGGTTTAATCACCCACTGGTTAAACTGGATAATTTTATTTTTAAAAAAGTTATTTTGGGGGTTAAAAATTTACAAAAGATTACATAACTTGAAAAGGTTGAGAGGTTTTAAAACTCTCCTTGGTCACAAACCTCACTCAGAGTAACATCCTAAGATATTATCTCTTTCCAATGCGTTAATGCCAGAATTGTTTTCTGCAACCTACAGATACTGATACAGCAAATTAATTAAAATAGTCATTTTAATCAAGATCACACATTGCAGATACAAACACATTGACATACATTGTACAGGTTATCACTGACACTTTATAAAAGGTTCCTGCATGATGAATGTAAAGAAAAGTGTTCATAGTTCACAATTTAACCTGACAGTTGTTCAAATTCTGCACAAACATTTTGGTCTATTCCAGCATGTTTGAAAGCTGTGGTACCTCCTGCACTTTGATAGCATATATGTGACTGGCTCTAGAAAAACGGGTAATAATTTGCCAGATTCAGGTTATGAGCTTTTGATGTGACTGGATTGTGTACATCACAAGCTGCAATTTGATGTATGAATGACCCCTGTAGTGCACAGCGTTCCGGAGATATATAGACATTTGTATAGCCACATTTTCAGATTCAGTAAAAACACTTTCCAAGAAAAAGCTCATAAAGTGTAGCACTTGGAAACATAATGCTATGCAGGATTTCCTACTGAATGATCCAGTTTTCATCTTTATTCATCAGTATCCATGTTTTTAGTCACAAATTCTGAAAATATAAAGGTTATAGAAGCTATTAAAGGAAAAAACAAAAAAATAGGCCATAACATGTTTTGGCATTGTGCGACTTATTACCCTTTTTGCAGAGCGGGTCACATATAGTTTAGCTCTATGAAAATAAACTCATGTAGTCCAGGTGCTTTTCAGCTGATTTAAACTCTGCCATCAAATCTTTCAACCCGGACAGCTCAATGTTCAAAGATATTCAGAGCAATGACAAGCAGAAGAGACAGCGAGCCAAAAACCAATGGATCTTGGTTCAGCGACGCCTCCAGCGATTACTGCATCGCTACCTGAAGACTGACAAGCAGCGCAGGGAGTACTTCCTGACAGGTCTTGAATGTGCTGTTTTTACAACCAAAAGCACCATACTTGTAAAAGGGCATATTAAATTCAAACATTGGTCTTTTTGAACAAGTGTGCTTTCCATGTTCTGTTTTGTGTGTGCAAGTTTGATCAAGAACTATGCCAGAAACCTTTGATTGAACCTACAATGCTGGTTTTGTATTGGTTTGAGACCAGCCTGCTGATGAAGGCATATGTTGTCATAATACCTTAGGTGTAAATATTGCAATGCAACACTGGAACCATGAAGTTTCATGCTGACAGTTGACTGTCCTAGACAGAAACTTTAGAAACATTAGCCTGGTGGAGTGGTACGTTACATATTAACTGCAGGAGTCAATTGTTCAGTGTCAAACTTTCTCTATGGGGTTTTTTAAATTTAATGGGTTTGTTCCTGAACCTTTTATAAAGATACCCGTGGGTCATGAGTGGGCCGTACAGAAGACTAGTTGCCAAAGGAACTCACTGACCAAAAAAATGGTATTCTTAGCTCCCATTAAGTTAATCTTGTTCTGGTCTTTTGTCAGTGTGACCTCCGTAGGTTATAGATTTGGGACTTTTCATTTGCTCTTTTAATAAGATTGTAGATGTCTTGGCTTGAGAAGGTATAAATTTAGCCCAACTTAAATCTTAAAGTGACAAACATTTTTATCCATTTTTTTTTATAATGGCATATAGTTACCGAAAAAGAAGTAGATTCGGGTATCCTGAGTACAGATGCAGAGGTTCATGGCAGAGTGTTGTCATTCAAGAGGTTCATCACTGACCTCCAAGCTCATCTACAAGACTACAATGCCAGGGACTACATTGACCTTCACCCCTTAAGGCCAGAGGTTGATGCCATTGCTCAGGAGAGAGTGGATGATCTGAAAGAAGTCAGAATTCCAGAAAAGGTATAATTGTAGAAGGAGTTTGTGTAGAGAACTACAAATTAAGTACCCATCATTTTAAGACTTTAAGCAAAGTGCCTTTACAAACTCTGTAACTGTACCTATTTTACACATCCCTGATTTAAAGAATGGGGCCTTTTTCTAATAACATGTAATGTTCTCCTTGGCCTTAGATGATAGCAGGGTGGCAGATATAATGTGAGTGCAAAAGCACTCACATTTTTTACTGAGTAAAGCTCGGAGGGGGTTACGGGGCTGAATAAACAAATCATCAGTTTGACCATTAAAAAAAAGAACTGAGTTATAACTTAGTTACATTTTTTATGTTTATTTACTACCTTACATTAGATAAGGTCAACTGAATACTTGAGAGTCTATGGGTTAACTACCAGTGCTCTTTATTAGAAATTCCTTTTAGTCTTCTTGACCCAGTTGCTGTCACAGCCTGTCAACTCTGCGATGGGTACCTTGGATAAGGTATCTTCCAAGGAAAAAGAAATCCTCAAGTGTTAAGGGAACATTGTGATATACTGCTCCTCTGTTTTGACTCATAGTTGAAGTACACTGAAATCCATGAATTCTCCACTGACTGGCACAAGGACGGCATCAATCCAGCCATCAACCGCTCCCATGCACACTACCTCGACAAATTTGGAAATGAATTCTACGATGCAATGAAGGTTATGATAGATGGTGCTGCCAGTGTTCAGGCTGGGTCCAGTGTAGTGCCTGAAGACAATGCTTTCTACTGGCGAGTTGTACCACATGTGAATTTTGTTCAAGAGTGGTAAGACTGAAGATTTAATATCCAGCAAAACCCTTTGTAAAATTGCGTAAAAACCTCTTTTTGAAACACCAGACATTGTCTTGATCAATACAGCAATGGCCTCATTAAAGATATGAATTTCTTTCAAATGTTTATTTTGTGTGTCAGTGTCAAGTCTTTCCATGGATGCAGTGACATTTTGACAAGCGTCAAGTGCTACATCAGGAGCAACTCACAACATCCTCTTGTCATCTATGGCAAGGCAGGCAGTGGAAAAACATCTCTGGTTGCTAAAGCAACAGAATTAGTCAGAAGTTGGCTGAAAAGGTATTAGTGGATCAAGTACCAAGAGAATTACTTGCTAACTAAACCATTGTGCTGTGATCTTGTAAAATGTTTTCTTTTGAACAACCTGTCAAAAAACTGTTTCATTGTATAGTGAAATGTCCCCATGATAGGGTCCACAGAAAGAGGTTGTTGCAGAATTCTTCTGCTGTGACAATTTTTGGCAGCTGATGTTCAGAATCCCTGTCGATTCAAACATAGCAGCAGGTCTCATGAATGTGTCTGCTGTGGATAATTAAATTTTCATTTACTTTGGAATCATTGTCATCTTGAAATGTATTCTTTTATCAGAGTAAATTTTGAGTTTTTTTAATGGAGCATGTTTTGACAACTTTTGTGACCTGGAAGAATTCAGACAAAGGTTTGTAAAAGTGTACACAAAATTCATTACCTAGCGAGAATGCTTGGTATTGACAAATATTCAGTACACAGTATTGACATTCCTCAATAGTGATGAGAAATTTCGGCGAACAGCTTGTATCTTTTTGTGCTTTGTCTAGTGAGGATGCAGCTGTTATTGTTCGCTTTATTGGACTGACAGCTGAGTCACAGCACATCCGGAGACTTCTTGCAGGTATCTGCACACAGATCTGCCATATTTACTGCCAGGATACCTCATCAGTACCAGAGGTAAAGCCAAGTTTGTGCTTGGATTATAAATGGCACTTTAAAGCTGAACAAGCATAGCAATGCATGCCTCATATCACTCTGCGAAGCAGTGTTCTTGCTAAGCAATTGTGTGACACTGGGCCCTGATGCATTTTATGTTGGTGTGGACTAACAATGCCCTCGGAATCTGCCCGTCAGACACAGGGAATGCATAGTTGTCACAGTTCAGAGTAGGACAAACAATGCCCTCGGAATCTGCCCGTCAGACACAGGGAATGCACAGTTGTCACAGTTCAGAGTAGCACTGGACAAAGCCATAGTAATATTGCCATGAAAATGCTATTCATCTCCCAAATCCCAAAAGAATTGCCTGTCAAAATATCGAGATGTGTTCTAAATGAACTGTTTTTCAATTCATTTTGGGGAAAAAGTACATGTACTTGCAATACTTTGGTATGTTTTTCCCACAACTTCTGATTTCTCTTGATAGAGATACAGTTAGATCTCAGTTGTTACTGTAAACTAGAGTCCCCAAATGCGGTGCACCTCATTTCCCTTGACTTTCCTCACACATTGCCACTAAAAACCTTTTCGTTGAAAAAGCTTTTACCATCAAGATGATTACTATTTTTCGTGTGGCCTGGCCATCTTTGAGAACCTTAAATATTCAAGTCAATCATTACAAAAATGGTCTCGTATGCTGGATGTGTAGAAGTGTTTCATGTCAATTAAGAAGCATGACCTTCCACTTGGGTAGAGGTGCCAATGCTATGGATATATACATATATACATGGCTCCTGGATTTTAGGTAATTAAAAAAATCATCAGAATAATCAGCTCTATATAACAAACTGTGTGGGTTAAAAAGCAAATCATCTGTACCGCTAATAGTTGGTAAGGCACAATTTTGAAAAATGTTGGAATGATTTGGGATGTTGAGATCATTGGGAATATCTGCAGGGAAATGGAGAAGTAGATCAACACTATTTAAATTTCATGTAACCTCACAATTTGATCTTATTTTATACTACATATATATGTTTTGACAGTTTTTTGGCTGTATTGGCAAAAACCATGTGAAAATCATCGTTGAATAAAACCTGTATCACCAGCACTAGTGCAGAACAGTTATTTGGGAAGCTTTATGTCGCTTGTTCTAGTCAGTCCTACCGTTATCAGCTTTTGATCAGACCATAGAGGAAGGACATAGAAGGAGTTGCAACTCAGGCACTTCAAAGTGTTCAATGATGGTTGCCGCCAAGTCAGACAAATGATAGAAAACATTCCAAAAATGTCTGCTTACTGCCTGCATCATAGCCGGACAAGCGGGGCCAGTAATACCCAGCAATACGTGTAGTCTTTTGGCCTGCGATTAAATACAAATTATTGCTTTGATCAGGAAATAGAGAAAAATACCTGATATTAGACCTAGTTTTGTCATTGTAAATAAACTTTTAAAACTTTGATACACTGTTCCGTTATCCGTTCTAAGTTTGTAATTTTATTCTCCTCCGTTCAATACATCAGTGTTCAAATTTAGCTAAAACTGGCCAACAAAATGTTCACTACCACTGGAAAGCTTAGTTCATTAGAAACAAAATGCACTATTTCATCACAGGGAGTGATCGTAAAATCTCATAAAATACGCTTTTGTACAAATGCCATAATAAAAATGATCCAAACAAAACACAAAATCTTGTGAACAACCGTGCTATTTATTCCCAAAGTAATTCCAGAAGAAAGAGCTCATTAAGGGAAATGACTGCACATAGATTTAGGGCACACAGCGTAATGCAAGCAACTGCGCAAGCATTAAATTTGATGTTGTCATGATATCATACCAAGTACAAAGCATGAATATTCAATTTTCTGTACCTCAGTACAAGAAGTTTTAAGGATGCAGATTACCATCAACAAATTGCGTCGGTGATCATAGGGTGCAAAGGGGTTTCGTGGTTGTGAACATATGGTACATAGCAAACGTTTGCTGTGCTCTGGCTATGGACGTACCAGGTGTGCCAAAAAGCGGTAATTGGCCAGATGTTAAAGCCCGGGCAGTTCAACTCCTTCTGTGTCCTTCCTCTATGATCAGACACATGCCAAGGTCATATGAGAACACACTCGCATGTGGGCAGACTGCCATTATGTAAGATTTTGAATCACAGGGCTATCAACTATTCTTTCGAAGGATTACTTTGGCCTAATGAATGACCTGGAACATCGTCTGCATTCAGCCACTGCTGAGAAACCCCTTGTCCTATTCATTGATGCTTTGGACCAGCTTTCTGATGAGAATAATGCTCGTAACCTCAGCTGGCTTCCAAAGTTCCTGCCGGAGCATGTACATCTGGTGGTTACCACGCTAACCCACGAGGAGGAACAACATGAATGCTTCAAAGTGGTCAAGGTGAGAAGGACTATTCTTTAAATGGAAAAACCGCAGGTCAATTGGTAATTATCTTTGGGATTGTGGAGCCCTGTCACTGCCACTGAAAGTGAACATTCTGCTGATTTAATGCACAAGTGTTTGGTTTGGTAGCTCCGGGGAGTTCTGTATGGTCTAGTGATGTGCTTTGGAGTGTTCTCTTTGTCTCTTCAATTGGAAGTAGAGATGAGGGGGTATTAAGGAGCACATGGGTTTAACTGCAACATTGACATGTATGTATCTAACCCCAAAAGATTTGCCTATATGCCACTAAAGCACCTGTATCAACCTGAAGATTTAGGAAAGAGCTGTGACACACAGCATATTGTAAAACTCTTAGTCTACTGCCTGCAACCTACACAGATTACCAATACATATGCATTATTTCCTAGTACATTACTTCCATTCGCTAACTTCTTGATCACCAGTAGTGCGCCCTCACTCGTTCGACTCCTGCAGAGGCAGCCACCATGTTCTTCCTCTTTTTCTAAGTGCCATTACTATCGGACGTGTTTTGATCCTTAGCTACACAGCATTTCGGTGTCATTTCTTGATCACCTTGTTTGTTTTTTCTTCTTCTTTTGAATGGTAAGACTGTTCCTTTTTCCCTTGTTTGTCCTTTTTTTCTCAGTCATGCGCAGGTGGCAGATTGACCCTTATATTGACCATCTTTTTCTAGGTTTTCGCCTGGAGGCGCTGTTTGCTTTCTATGTGTTCTTGTCGATTTCAGAATAAAATTGAATACGTTTGTCTCTTTATTCTGCTTATTTCTGTTTCTTATCTGTATATACTGTAACGTGTGGAAAGATCAACTAAAAAACCCCAAATAATTGTGGTCCAAGTCCAATGAGGGGAACTTGACTGACCGCTGGTCCTGAGGGCGATGCGGTGCTACTTGGCTCGACAGTAAAATACACCCACGACGGATAGATGTCATACCCGTGCAGGTACAGTTCAGGGCAATGGAGCAGTAGCCTTGAATGCCAGCACGATGATTCGAAGCTTGGGAAGAACAGCAATGCCCAGTGGATCCATTAACCCTAACACTCCTCAATCCTTCACCTGTTGGAGGACTGAGGAGTGTTAGGGTTAAGGTAGCTCGACTTGGACGTCGGTAATAGCTGGTTCATTGTTGCTGTCAGCGTCTTTCCTGCCTGTGATGGTATGGTCAACAGAGAACTTGGCATGGGAGTATCTACCTAAAATATAGTGTCCTAGCACATTCCCTGTTCACTCATACAAAGAGTCTTATAACAGAAACATTTTACAGGGCTTGGCCTAGAAAGATTAATAGGATGGCAGTCCAGGAAGATTAAGGTTCAGGCTCCAGAGGGTCAAGCTAATAATCCCCACCGGCTGGGCTGACCTAGAAATTCTGGAATTCAAATCCTGACTGTAACAATACCTTCTATTTTGCTTCACCCCATTGTGGCATCTGTCATTTATATTTTTGTTGGTTATCTAATCAGAATATCTTTGAGAGCAGTTTCTCATTATTTTACTTGTCAAATTTTGTTTTGTATTTCACTGAAACTTTTGGCATTCCCTATTCTTTCAGGTTTGCTTCTCCCTTTCTGTGTGTTAGATTCAAGTTCTAGAGGGAGCTATTGAGTTTGCTCTTCACCCCACTTGGAGTAGTAACACCCGTTGTGGGTCTGGGATCGCTTGGTTAGTAAGGACAGTGGTGCGGTGGTTTTGGTCCTGGCGAACCTAGGGAATAGGACAGTGCGTAGGTTTACTATTCCCTCCATCTTGGTCGTTGGGGGGTACGACAATGCGATACCCTCATTTGCTCCAGTACTGTACTGCTGCAGCATGCGAGTTCGCTTATTGAGTACCCTCGTGACTCGCAGCAGTCTTGTGGCTGGTCCCCTTGCACGGGGTGATACATCCGATTGTTCAGCTGCACGCCCACGGGCCTTCTTTGAGCATCTTTGGCCCGTCCACACACCCCCTATTGGCCTTTTGGGGCGTGGCGGAGTCTGCCCAGGGGAGCACTATTAGGTGACTCATAGTCGTGTAACAGCATTTCTGCTGGCACAGCTCGGCTTACCGTCCAGTCAGGTAATGCCGATCAGGTAATCTTATCGTCATTAGATGCTCCCTGCGGGCCATCTTCAAGCATCCAGCAACCACCGGCCCATCTATGTCCCTCTACTGGCCTCTGGGGCATAAGGGACTTCACCAAATGGGTGAAGGTGACTCACCTTGGCTTGCCGTTCGGTCCGGCAATGCCAAGGGAACTTTTCACCCTCCGGGGCCATCTCAACCCACAATGGATGACAGTTATACTGTGAGTTTTGCTTCTGGTCCTGACCTTTCTTCGTTTATTTCTGGCTCAGGTTAGTCTCTGAATGAGGATGAATCCTTTTCGGTGATTTTTTTTTGCTGTCAGAGTCTCGCTTAGATCTTCTACATCGAGAAATGATCCAAGTCCTGGGGTTGCCTACCCTGTCACCTCCTGACAACGAGGGCGTCCCTAGTGCAAGTGTTGTTTACCTGGTGAGACCTCATCTTCCCCTCCCCTTCATGGGAAGTTGAGCGTTTAAATGAGACTCAAAGAGGTCTACGTGGGGCCTGTCAGTTGCTCGGAGGAGGGCACAGACCACCTCTGGCTGAAGAGTCCACTCTGTCAGGCGAACCCTGTCCTAAAAGAGATTGAGAATTTAGGGAGTGGAAGTAATGGTTTAGGAAATAATACACATGTATTGGTAATCTTGTAGGTATGCAGTAGTAGACTCCTCCCACTCTAGGTGGGGGGAGAGTCTCGTCTATATTTCATTTGTGTAAACCATTCTCTTGCATCTTTACAGAACATCAAACACTTTAAAAGAGGTTTAATATTTCTGTTTGTTTCAGCGAGCTTTGCCTGGAGATAGTCTTATTTCTATGCCAAGTCTCAACCCCAGTGATGTGGCTTTTATCATTAGCCACAACCTAGCTGCCAGGAATCGGAGGGTCACTACCGAGCAGCATGGAGTGGTCATGAAGGCATGTGAAGATAATGCCATCCCTCTCTACGTGTCCCTGGCAACTGAAGAAGCTGCCAGGTGGTCCAGTCACATGACTGGGAGGGCACTGTTCATGCCAGTTAATCTGAAGAAGTTCGTGAACCGTGAGTATTCAAGTCTCAAATTCTTTAGTGTGACATGAGTGAAAAATATTCATGCATTAGCTTTCAAATTTTGAGCTTTCTCCAAGAATGTTCCACACACCTCATAAATATTGTTACCTCTGGACGGTTGACATTTACTGTTAACATACTGCTGCATGGGATTTAAACCAACCAGCTCTCTCAAACATACCGACGAGTTAATTGATAAGACAGCAGGAGACTATGTTTGCAATCCTGCCTGAGTAATTAGCTTGCTAAGGATGAAGTGCTTACAGTGCTTTAAAAATTACATTAATAATGGGATAAATATGTGCTTTGCCGGTCTTAAACATGTGTTTAAGTCTAGCTTGGGAGAATAGACAGCTCGGGCATTATCAGCATTCCTTCCCTCGGAAAAAAAGTTCAAGACTGGCCAAGCTTGTATTTATTCCCATTCATAAATACCTTTTTATTCAGAGAGTTGAAAGAAGTCACCATGTGATGGATTTCCAATGATTTTGTTCTAAACTGTAGCTTCATTTTCCCAAGCCCCCCGTCCATATATACCATTTTATAGTATATTCCTTTTGAAAGTTGTCCAATAGAATCCCCATCAATGAACTTGGCGCACACAGACTCCTGACCAATCAGGCCCGATTTAACTGTTTCGTAACCATGTGCCAGCACATAATTAATTCAGCGGGCATATCACTTTCCAGCGGGCATTATCAAATGTTAATACATGGTCACGTGACGTGTTTCAACCAGTAGGAATAGAAAAACTGTCCCAGGTATTTATGAATGAAGGATAAAGTCCAATAGTAGACCATAACTATGGTTTGGGGGCAATTTATCATCACCATTTTCCCTGTTTGTTGTTGTAGTAATGGACTTAAACTTACTTTACTTGTAATTAAACTACATCTTTGATTTTTGAAATTGAATAAATTATGCTCTGAATGAAGTCACAAGTAGAATTTTTAAAACTTAATCCTCATTTTGATAGAATCTTTGGTTAAACTGTGCATGTAATTTCTTACTAGACATTCTGATCCACATGGAGTCTTCCTTTGGTGAGCCTCTGGTCCGTCGCACCCTGGGATACATTACTGCTGCTCCAAGTGGACTGTCCTGGTCAGAATTGGAAGACCTTCTGTCATTGGATGACGCTGTAATGAATGATGTGGTGGCGTATCATAATCCATTGCTACGGCGCCTACCACCTGCATTGTGGTGTCGGCTGAGGGCAGAGTTGGAGAAGTACTTGCTTGTGGAAAGGGTGGATGGGTGTTGGACCTACAGGTGGCAGCACAGAGAGTTCCATGAATGTGCTACAGAGAGGTTTGGACCTTACTGCATAAGTTTCTCATACTACCATTTATATCCACTCAAATCGAACATGTCTTTTCATTTCTTTAAAGGTGTCATGATGACTGCACAGCTCAGCTGCTAGTATTAAACAAGGCTTGCTTTTCCCGTTTCTTAATGTATTACAAGAAATTGTAATTGGTTTTTTGCACAGCTCTAGATATTGGCAGATTCAAGAAGGTTGCTTTCTTTAGGGCTACAAAATGCATGATGGACAACTTTTTATGAAAATCAAAGGTCAAGCCATTTATTTACATCCAGATAACCATAACATGGAACCAAGTTGGTCTACTTTAAATAAATATTACAAGATGCTTTTTGTTGTTGGGGATATGTTAAATTATAAGAACAGGTTTTGATCTTTGGATGTAAATATAAAACACTGAATACTCAGTGTTTGTTCGAGAGCTTGTGAAAAAGCTTACTGGGGTGGGACTCAAACCCCCAACCTCCTGCTTATAGTGCAGATAAATTACCTCTGAGCTCTCAGGGGTTAGTTGGCCTAACTAGGTCAGATGTAGCAATGGGTACTGCAGATTATAACAAAAGGGCAAAACCTGTTATTTAGGGCAAAACCCCTATTCAAAATTTGAATAAATATTTGGTTTAACAAAGAAATTGAAAGGGGCTGGATTTGAAAATGTACTTCATGTCGAACATTGTACAGGTGCTCCATCCAACTGATCAACAAGCCTTTGAAAGTCCCCAGTCTTGGAGAGACCTAACAAAGAATCTACTGTCCATTTTAAGGACAATTACATAAATAAAAGTATGTGTATTAGACACCCTTAGAGACCCTGACATCAGTGTCAGGGAAAAACCCATACTTAAAATCATGTCTGTGAGCTACAGCATGTGTTTATCATTTTCTCCTCCTTGCTGTATATTCAAGTGATCATTGGTTAACCAGTTACTTTTAAATGATTATTTGGTGGCAGGTATCTGAAGCAGAAAGACAAGGCCCCTTCCTACCACTTAGCCATTAGTGAGTATTTCATGGGTAAATGGGCAATGGTGAAGAAACCTTACCCAGGCAATGATGGTGGGGCTGATCGCTTAGTTGATCCTATGCCACTAGTCTGGACTCATTTCTTCCCAGATGGTAAGTTCCGAGTTTGCATCTTTATGATTCCTGATGATTTTCTGAATGCTGTCTGGTGTTAACGTGAAGAATTCCTCACAAGTGTGCTTGTTACTGTCACAGAATTCTGTCTCGTGCCTGAGTTGGGCTCTAGTACAACCAACCTTGCACGTAACTACTGCTTGATTCAAATACCAAACATAAAAGGGCTTTCAATGAGCATGCCATAGTACTTCCATATATAATTACAATCAATTAATCTTCTCCAAGCCTATTCATGAGTAGGGCCCTGTTGAGTGCCCGGATACGTGCAACCTGACTGCTGATTATGGGTACCTGGTTCCTGTGCTTGAATAAAATGGTGGATATGAGAATATGAAACAAATGCCAAAAGCAGAATAAGATTTTTAAAAAGTTACCATATTTTTATGTTTGCACGAAACAGACTCCACCAGTAACCTGTGGCATTCGCATCCACTTGAAGCAGATTAAACATGATAACATAGCATAGCATGATAAACATAGATTAGCTTGTTAACTACCTTGCATGTACATGTAGGTGTCCACCTGGCCAGTGAGGCAAAATTTCCATCAGTCTTCATTCTAACAGATATCTGTGATGTGTTATTCAAATTTGCCAAAAAAGTTGGAGATGTGGCAAAATTCCACCACGACAAATACATGCTACGACATAAGACAAGGCAATGGTACCAAAGTTGCATGTGTTCAGGTGATTGGATGACCTTAGTACAGTCGTACAAGCTTGCAAGATCAGTAATTTCCGGACTTTCCTTCCAGTACGAGTTGAACCACAATAAACATCAAATTCAAAGTAACAGTAGGCATTGTGCAAGCCACTTGATGATATCATCGGCTTAATACAGAACGGAAGGTGTGGCTACGCCAGACGTTACAATGGCACAGTCATGCACTCACATTCCATGTTCACAGTTGATTTCAATGAATTCTTACCACACACTTGTCATATGTAATGAAACTTTGTGGCCGCCTTGCACGTATGTGTAGATGCGATATGTCTATGTCTACAGTGTGCGTAAATGTACACACATATGTACTTGTACAAAGAGTGATGTAAGACTTCGGTGCAATCTGAGTGCACTTTACTCGCTTTTCGTTTTGTGCGTGTTGCACTTTAGCTCCCAGTGGATACATTCTATGCACCATCAATACCATGTCACAAATGCCAAACATCTGAGCCAACCAGCTTGGTTTGGTTTGGAATTTGATGATTTTTTGTTTGGTTCAGCTTCAGCACTAATGTAGACGAATCCAATTGCCTCAGTCAGAAGATATCACTGATGTGGTGTAGTCCTTATCAGCATCATTATGTCACTCTGACATTTGATGTACCTGTGCATTTTCGCAAACAGTTTCTTTAAAGGAGCATAGAAGGCGTACTCATGACCTGTTCACAAATATAGAATGATTCAGTACTCTGCTTTTGGTAGCCAGGGTCCAGTGCCATAGGGCTGCTGCTAAGCAGAGTGTAGGAAATGTATGCTGAATCAATATGTAAATTACTGCTTGTGAGTGGTGCTCTGCCAGTGTTTGCTTTACACATAAATTCTCTAAGAAATATTTTATGCTGAACAGCTCCATAAAGTTGGACCCTGGCTCTTCCAAATGTGAAACCTTCACAGTGACAACCACTTTCTTTTGTTCATAGGTATGCACAGGCAGGTGTATAACCTACGCAAGCTGAATGAGCTCCCTTACCACCTTCTCCATGCCTCCCAGATGGATAAGCTCAAGACAGAGGTCCTTGTCAACTATGAGTGGACACTGACCAAGCTGAAGGCCACTGGGCTGCGGTCAGTCCTGGATGACCTTCAAAGTGCCCTTATTTTCCAGCCTAATGACGCTGAGCTGCGGCTGATGAGTGAGACATTGCAGCTGTCAGTTGGGGCACTGCAGAAGAGTATTGATCAGCTGGGTGCACAGCTGATTGGCCGGCTTTACAACCTGATCAAGGCTGACAAGCCTGCATCGGTTGGGGACCCCAAGAAATACCCCACGGTAGCTGTCATGCTGGCTGGGCTGAATCGTAGCTCTGTCCCACTCCTTCTGCCATCAACAACATGCCTTGCACAGCCTGGTGGAGTGCTATTTGATCTGTTAGCAGGACACACAGATGTCATCACAGCAGTCACAGTATCATCAGATAGTAACATTGCAGGGACAGCATCTAAGGATGGTTCAGTCAAGCTGTGGGACCTCAAGAGCAGGAAGGTTGTGAAAACTGTACCCAATGTTGGAACAGAGGTATTGCAATGATCTGTTACTGGGATTGAGAAAAGATACTATCTCCAAATACTTTGAAAGGGAGTGCACAGTGCATGTCAATAAAGTAACTATGGAAGGCCAGTGGATAAATAGTTTTGGTTTTGTTTTGAGCATAGTGACATCACTAGTCAAACAGCTGTAACAACAGGATATCTCCTGGGAATATCCTCTTCCCAGTGAAAGTTTGCAAATGTGGTAATTTGATGTGCATCCACAGCACAGATAAACTAATAACTTTGACATAGCTACAAAATAAGTCATGGGTAGTATGATAATATTTTGTCCACATCACACAGTAGACACCTGCCATAAAATGGCTGTTACAGACTGTATCAAATCTGTCTGACTTTATCACCTGTCAAAACTGAACAATCTGAAATATCATGAATTTGGAAAAGGCAAGGAATGTATATTCTACAGAATGATTTATTATTACCCCTGCAGGTTGCCACCATTCGCTTTGCTCTTAAGAACCATGTTCTGGTCTCTGTTACCCACAACACTATCCATGTCTGGGACCTGGACACGTGCACATGCATTAAAACTCTGGATGACGACATCGACCCACCTAGCATAACCATCGCAGGTGATGACCAACAGTACCTGTGTGCTTTCTTCAGTGGCACTAATGCCATGCGGACCTGGGAACTAGGGGATGGAGACTGTAACCTGGTTTGTAGGCGGGAGATCTCCGGGCAGGGAATCCACAAGGATGGGTCAGTGTGTGTCTCTATTACCTCATCAGGAGAAAAGGTCCTGTATGCCTTCAGGAGTGACAACAAGGCTTATGTTGTGAATGCCAAATTAGGACAGAGGGTATGTTATTTTCAGAAGGATTTTGTTAGAAGTTCTCTTCAAACCAGATGAATGTCAAATACTTTTCTGATATTGGTACCTTTTTGCCCTTCTTTGACTTGGGCAAGAACTCCTTCCCTTCTTTTGTGTTTTCATCATTGTACCTTTCCCAACTGCAGGTTGATTAGCAATAACCAAATGACAGGGCAAAAACATACAGATTTTTAATACACTGTGTGTTTGGGTGCATGTACACTGTACACGCAGAAAATGGTGCTAAATGACACATGAATATCAGTTTTAAAATGTGCCAGTTTTAAACATTTCGCCTAACTATCTGTTGGCTGTTCATATGAAATGACACTGTACATGTATATTTGAAAATCGAAGAAAAGTGTGTTTTCAGTTTATCCCCGCCCATACTTTTCTTTGTTTTGTTTTGTTTTGTTCAGGCCTTGAGGATGTGCACATTTCCTGAAAAATATCAAAGTTTGCGATAATTTTTGTTTCCAGCAACTATTTTGATACAAAAGTCATGTGATACAAAAGTAGATTTAGAAGTATTTTTTGAATAATTAAGGTTGAAATGAAAGTCCTCTGAATAGACATGGTGAGATGTCTCCTGAATTTCAGGGGACTGTTAATGCGTATATGTGCTCTCAGGATTGAAACCTTTCTCTACTCCATTTAGTATTTAAAGATCTCAAATCTACATTGAAAATGTTTAATTTAAATTGAGCTAATCAAAGTTGTGCCTAAATTCCAAATTTAACAGATTCCAGCTATTGTAAACATTTTCCTGCATATCTATGAGTACTATAAAAAATCATCACATATTCTCTCAAGTCCTGCAAGCCCATCACATGTCATCCACTCTAAAGACAGTCTCAAGCTCATAAAATGTATTATTGCACAAAATATTTTTGTCACTGTAAATCTTGTGACTCTAGACACGTCTTGAGACTGGATTTGTGACAGACTCCCTTAGAATTCTGATATCCAGCCACTTCTGTCAACTCTGCTATGTGTGTCACTTGCAGTCTCTGAGTCATTGCATTCCTTGTTCTTTCAGTTACATGAGCTAAAGCCCCCCAGCCAATCGGCGTCCATCACAGCTCTGGGTATATCAAAGGACTATTACATTGTTGTATGTCGTTACCTGTATATGAAGCTGTCTGAGATTCATCATCTGGAGCTATTTGATATCAAGATGGGGAAGTATGAGCGAGCCGTCAAAGGTATCCCTTCTGATTCTGGGGTTAAAGCTTTACCTGATTATCTGAACCCCAGCAGTTAAAGAAATAGTCCAAAGTTCTAGGGGTTCTAACAGCCAGAAATAGAATTTGCATTATGAGAAAATACACTTGTACATGGAACAAGGAAAAGTTTGTACATACGGCATAAAATTCTTTGTGTATTTGTGTTTCTCTGGGGTGTGGGTTTAACTGTTTGCATAAGCTATTGCTGTCATTATCAACTGTTTTTGATACAATCTATTTCAGTTTTGAATATGTGTTCCGTTGAAACATCCAGTTTCTGGTGTCTATTTCTAATCATTTCCTTCTCAGATTATGACACCAGATAATGAAATTATCATCTTTGAACATAAGCAACTCTATCGAATTACTTTGTTCCACTCACTTTAAAGAAGCATTTAGTAAAAAGCACTTTTTAAGAATTCGTCCACACCTCAAACTGTACTCCTAACCTCATCCTGCTGTCTGAAAATATAATATACAAGACGGTGTGACTATGATTTGCGGGTTTGTTTTAATTTAAACTTTTTCAATTAATTTTGCAATCAGATTTATTTGGTTTCTTTTATTGATTTCTGAGAGATGCAACAGCAGTTATAATGTTTTGAACAACATAAAATACTTGACATTATAATTGCAAACGTCGGGCTGTGTTTGCGTGAAGTGCAGGGCTTTTTCGCAGTCTAGAGTCCTTTCTAACATGAAAGGTTTGCCTGCTCTTAAATTACTTTGCTGTGAATGGCGCCAGCTTGTAGCCAGAGCCATTTCTTCTAGATTTTGTGATATTGCAGCCTCCAAAAAACCCTGGATTCTGAATATTTGTGCCTTTGCTTTTATAAATGTCGTTTTATATTTGTTGTATTAAGTTAATGGCAATTCATTTTCTTATGCTATTTTACTATGTGTATAACTTTATGTAACAGTATAATGCACACAGGAAACCAATTTCATGTTTTTTTATGTGACGACATAATGAATGAAAGAAATGAAATGCTTTTATGTACTCTCTCATTCCTAGGTTGCACTCATGATGTGATCAGTGAGCTGCACGTCAACAAGATGGGCTCTCATGCCCTCTGCCTGTGCCCATCGGCCCAGTCCAACACCAGTCACATATCAGTCTGGAACTTAGAGACTGAAGACCACAAACATTTGGCCAAACATGCACAGGTACTAGTCTCTCTCTCTCAAAATAAGGCCATATTTGAAATGGACATTGTGTCTTTGTCTGCACCTGTTATCTGTAGTACATTAAAAGCTGAAGCCATATCTTTAAAATCCTGGATTTGGACATGACCCAATATTATCAGTGCTCCCTCTGTATTAAACCTTCCTCTAAAGTATTCTACACAAGGAAAATTATAGGAGGGTTAATGTATTTAAAGCCATTTAAATTTGAGTGAAACTTGTAAGCAAGTCGTTGTCTTATTTGTCACAGTTTTGACATCTGTTGAGGGTAATGAGAGTCGAAGTCAGAAACGAATTTGAAAGGCACAGTCCATTATTTGTTATGTGTACATTATGTTCCTTTGGGGCAACAAAACTATGCAAAATGTAAAGAAAGGCACCTAAGAACAAACCTGATGACATTTCAGCTAAGTGAATACTGTATATTATGACAAAAATGATATGCTAGGATTTTGATTTCAGATGAAAAGTTGCTTAGTCCTGTTTCACATTGCCTATAAATTCAGCATTTGGAATACATTCTCATGATCAGCTGAACATAGCTATGCAATGTCATACACTGAACCAACAAATTATGTTTATGGTAAGAGTGTGTGAGTCATGGGCACACTTAAGCATGCTTCTAATGGCAACTTTCCAAATACATATTTAGACCTATTGTTTGAAGTAGTCTTCTTTTGTTGTTTCTCCAAAATGACAGCTTAACAGAAAAAAACCAACAATTTGGGGAGGTATTCTCTGTGACGGACTTGAATCGGGGTAAAACAATAACACATTGCAGTGCATTGCAATATGTATATATAAGTGTATATATATTTGCTGTCTTGCATTTTTCTTTTTGTCGTTGACCCATAATGATCACATGACAGGACAACGTAACCGTGTCTCAAACTCATTGTTACACATCGCATCAGCCACTGTTGTATATTTGCGTGCACAATACCCTTCAGTGCACAGGACTGCTATCACAAATGCATGGACCGCTATCACAAATGTTCAAAGATTCTTTTGCCACCCTCAATACAGAGATGTGACAAAACATTATTGACTGCAATTTCCTTTGTGTACATTTTCAAAGCTAAAGTGAGTTTTCAATGTAATCTCTCCTTGACAGATGTCCACCATGGGAGCTTGCATTGACCTCAACTTCTGCCTTAGTGCTTCCAGACAAGACAAGGCACTACGCATTTGGAACATTAGCAAAAGGGTCAATGACCGAGAGGGCACTGATTCCAAGAGCAAGAAACGTGAGGGAGTGTCAATCCTCGTTCCAATGATCAATAACCCCAGATATGTGGTAGCCAAAGCCATCGACAATGGCCCACTGAGTGTCTGGAATGTGGTGAAGGGGAAATGCTCAGGAAGTGCTGTCCGCATTGAGCGTGGCCTGGTAGACCAGCATGATGTCATCTTAATCCGCAACCACATGGCCGTGATTCTGGCAGACAGAGGCATGTCATCTGTTAGTGAGAAGCCCACGCCAGTATTCCAGACAGTTTACATGTACAACTTGAAGCTCAAGAAATACTACAGGAAACTGACAGGTGTCTTCATTGTCCCGTCTCCAGCTCATGAGTACAGAATCCTTGAAGGAGAGCTGCTGCTGGGATTGTCAGAGAGCCGTGATCATCTCATAGCATGGAGTCTAGTGACAGGCCACATCAAGTTCCGCATCAAGAGCAAGTTTAAGGAGCTAGAGAGGTGGCGGGGAATGCGACGAGAGGAAGAGGAGGAGGTCTTGCGAAAGTGCAGCAAGAGGAGCACCAGCGCCCTGATGACACCTTGGGATAGACGCTCAGAATCCATGACGGCTAAGCAACGACGACGGGACAGTGAGTTCTTTGAGGAGAAGAAGCGGTTGGAGGACCTGCGTAAGGAGAAGGAGAACGCAATCGAGCAGTACATCATGAGCCAGGATGAGAGGATCATTGTCTGTTGCTACTTTGCCCATCACATGTGTGTCTTTGATGTGGAGAACCAGAGCCACCTATGTACCCTTGAGGATGAGAACTCCATGCTGTACCTCTATAACGCCGCTCTGACACCCACAGGGAGCTTCCTAGCTCATGCCAACTATGATGATCGGGCCAAGTGCAGCTATGTCACCCTTTGGGACCTTCAAACTGGGCAGGTCCGCAAGCGCATCAAGAATGAGGCCAATGTCTGCTGTGTTGGCATTAACAAAAATGCCACTCGTGTGTTGTTTGGTAAAGAGGGCGGCAGCCTGAAAGTTTGGGATGTTCGCCGAAAGTCCACCCTGAGGAAGCTGCGGGCATACAACAGCATGAAGTTGACCATGGACAGCAAGATATTCATGATTGATGATGGTGCAAGAGCTGTTGTCTTTGCCAATGACATCTCACTATGGGATCTGGACCGAGCCTCACTGATTGCACTCTTCACCCCAGACATCCGCATCACATGTGTGGAAGTGGTCATGGGTGGTCAACTCATTGTGATGGGCCTGAGAGAGAGTGCTGACCTGGTGACGTTGAGACTCCGAGGTCGTGACATCAAGGCAGTGGATCTTGGGTCTGGGGTTGGTGGGGAAGAACTGTTTGGAGAGACAACTGGTGACACCACTGAAGAAGAGGATGAAAATGAACATGATGAGGAAGGAAGTGAGACTGCCTCAACCAAAGGATCAGAAAAGACTTAACACATCAATGAAGAAGCTCTTGGGAAAACACTAATTAACATTCCATCCTTTCCTTACTCTCTATACGTGGAATTATTGCCAGGAACACCAGTCTTATCAGCCTTGTCACCTTTAACTTCACCAGGTGTGCACTTAATAATATTAATACTGTATTTAAACATCTGGAGTATGACCCTATTTAGACAGGGTATTAGATCACAAATCTCGTGCAATCTAACCAGTCACAAGACCTGTTCTAAAAGCCAGCAACAGATTGTGTGTTTGTTCCCATGTTATGGAGTGCTTTTCTTAAACATTGGAACAAAAGATACCAACGAAAAGTTCTGTTTGCAACATTTGATTGGCTGTGCAAGAAAAAGAGAACACTACAGACATCATCTACACATTCTAAAACATGTTTGTATCCATCCAATGTAAAATTCATTGCAGCCTTTAAGTATTCAGCATTGAAGTTGGACAAAAATTGCTGTATCAGTAGGGGCACAAGGAAAGGTGACTATGCCCCCCCCCATTATGTGGTAGTACTCCGGACTGAATATTAAGGGAGGTGTTGACATCATATAAACAACACCATTATGTATGTATTAGGAAGAACCAAAGGCTATGATGTGAAGGCCAGAAAAGCATGCTGAACATCAGTGTTTAGCAAAAATACAAGTAGTTTACCTGTCACAGTTCCATGTTCTGTCTGTTGTAATCACCAGTACCCAGTTTTATTCTACTCACCCTACGTATTCTTTGAGGGGCCGCCTTTCACTAAATTTGGGTGTTCACCCTCAAATCAATTAAATTGTGACAGCAGTACTGTCTTTTGAACAAGAAAAAACAGTCAAATTGCATTGGTTAATATGTATGCAATTGATGGAAGAAATTTATTTTTTTCCTGAATGGATTGATGTTGTGTGGCTATTAGGAAATAAGGATTAGTAGTAATGGACTTGAATTGATCATGCATTGATTCATTGAGGATGCTGGGAGCTCCTTCACTATACTTTTGCCATCATACAGTTAAAATATTGATTGTAAATACATACTTCCCTCGTATATGTTTGGTAAGATTTATACATCAACATTTTTATGAATATGCCAGAAATTGTTGTTGAAATGCACCTGAGCTGGTTAAGAACTGTGAAGGGTCCATGTAGCTTTAATCCAATCAGAAGATGTCTTCCTTTTCGTTTTGCGACAAAGCTATTAACTGAAATCAGATTTTGACATTGGCACGCAGTATTTATATACAAGCAATCATGTACAGACTGTAAATACCAAAAAGTGTTTTGTAGTTTTTTTGACTTATTTTAAATTGAGTTAACAGTACATTTTCCTATAAATCTAGTGATGATAATAAGTGATATTACATCAACTTATGTACTTATCAACTTATGTGATTTCTACCTTTCACTTCACTTAGATAAACTTAAAGGCATTCGAGTCCAGAACAAAATTTGTTCCCTGCAGCAATTTTTTTCATTCTGATTTTATCTAAATTAAACTAGCAGGAACTGTGTTTTGTTTCTTTGTTTTATTTTTTACATTGCTTGGTTCTAATTTATATTTAGTAGTAATACATAAATGTTAAAATCACATAAATTGATCTTGAAAACGTTTTGCTAGGCAAGTAGCAGTGATAAGTGATAGTGTGCGGTGTAAAAGCTAGTTTCAAAACGTATCTGTGACCCTGGATTCTTTTGTCAAATATGATGTAGAGATTTTGCCTAACGTCCTTCTTATCTCTTCGACTATTAAGGGAGTGAGGAATACTTAAAAATATACAGACAATAAATGAAATAGGTGAATGTCTACATAATGTGTTCGGCGTCTGTCTCCCTAGCCCAAACATGGGTAGGTATTGGAAATATTTTATCTAAAAATTGATTTGAGAATCTCAGAGAACTATTGACAGATAGTGAAATTTGGAAAGGAGTATCTTAACTTTCCACGATTATAGATGTGAAAAGCTAGACCGAGGCGTTCGAACTTTTTTTTTTCGAATTGGACTTGATCTGTTGATCATAAGCCGATCAAATCAAAATTCAGGACAGCTATCGAATTTTTTTAAACCAAATCTGCTAATTTTAACTACAACTTGAAATGGAACCCAGTTGTGCAGATGGGTCATTCTGTTGGGTCCGACGTGTGACATTTTTTCGTCTGTTACACCTGACGTATACTTTGACAAGGGATAATCTTGGAACTTAAGGAATGAGTTTTAAACGTTTACAAAACATACGCCAAATGTTACAGATGGGGAAAATTGGTCTCCAAAGGTATAGAATGACCCAAATACTAAAATAAAATACTTGGCCTTTGATAACGTTCATGCCCGCAAAATGATGAAAAGAAACTTTATCACGCACTTCGACCATGATCAGAATGACTTTTCGCGGGAGGCGTTTGGTTTTGGTGGGCCTATATTAATATAAAAAGGGAGGGGAAGAAATGACTCATTTTTTGTCGCCTAAATCCCTCATCAAGATTGACCCTTTGACCACGATGCCAGTTGACTGCTACCGTACGCTTACTTGTAGTCGGCCTGAGTCCCATCCAACTGACTGGGCATTTAGAATTTTGTGCGTCTGTGTGTCCTTCGATTTTGCTATCCACAGATACTTTGGAAGGCCAGCATTTGAAATAAAGATGAATCATGCAAGTGTTCTGTTTGTGGAAGAGACGATCTTCTCAACCTAAGGTTCTTCCTCAAACATCGTCATCATTCAAGATCAGAGAAAGGAAATTTAAAGAAATTTGTTATTAAATATGTTTTAAAATTCATATCCTAATATGAAGGAAGTTTTATTTACAGTAACTTCAAACGCTTTGGACGATGTGTAATGATGTTGAGAACCAGTCTTATTTCGAACGGTATCGCTGGTTATGGACAATTTTGAATTTATGCGTGATGCATTGTAGAGAACACAAGTAGAAGTTGGAACAGCAAGAAGTAACATTCCTGTTCATTAATGTAGTGATTTGAGTCGATTTTTACAAAAAATCTGCCAATTACTGGTGGTGAATAAAAGCAAACACAACACGGAATAGTGCGAAATTAGCTGTGCGTAGTACGAGAAAACGGTTTAAAATCGTGTTGTGATTTGTTAGACTTTGACGTGAATGTACAAGGATAATAATAATCTTAATTTGCATAATTATGGACTAGGGAGGAGCAACATGCTTTTTTGTTATTTTTTTGTTCAGTCAAGACGCTTAAGTTCTGTGTTCACATAATATGACTTTTATGCTTTCATGAAGAACTTGTCATAAAGTGATGTGCAAACGGACCTGCATAGCTAACAGCTCCACGTCGAAACCCAAGTATGCCTATCTTGTTTACGTTCCCAGGGGCAGTGATTACAATTTATCGACTTCACGAAGTTGCAAGCCTAGTGAGAGGATAGCTTAATTGCAGTTTGCAATCAATAGCAACAATGTCAAGGTGGTGAAGAGCGACTCGAATGTAAAGGCCAGAGTTAAGGCAAGTGGGCCTTTCACCACGTTCTGAGCTATTGAGAAGAGTTTGTTGATATTTGCCTTTAGGACCTTTGCCGATCAATCGATTCTGTAAATCTCCGAGATAATAGTACTGGATTGTAAAGGTCTTGTTCATTCAAATTTTGTGAAGAAAACTAGATTCTCTCAATCACGTTTCCCAAACCGCTCACTGAAAAAAGCTCCTATTTCTTGCATGACTCACATGAATTGTTCACATGAATTGATGCTGTTGCTTTTGCCATGGGAACACGTAGGAGGGGGAATTTGAACTCTAATGAGGCCGGTTCATATTACAGGTGAATGCAAGAGCGAAGCAAATATGTGACCTCACCAGAAATTTGCCGTGATATTTCGCTAAGTTGCAGCGGGTTCTACTTTTAAGAATTCTCAACGCGAGCATTTCATCCGACGTCACAATTTCGTGTTTGCTTTCGCACAAAGCACGAACTGGCCTTTATAATAATCAACCGATAATTGATTTAGACTATAGATATTTATATGGAAGAGTATAAGGGCCATTTGCAGAAAACAAAAAAACAAAAAAACCCGTTTTTCGAGATACTATCTCGCCGCTGCTAGTTATCTCGCCGGGGCGAGTTAGCTAAAACTAGCTCAACTCGCAATATATTAAGACTCGGCTTGGATACCAGACCCAATGATTCCCAATCAAGGGTCCTGTATCACCCAACGTCCACGCGACCAACACTCCCCCAGCCTTTCCGAAAATAGTCGAACTTTTCCTGTCCATATTAAATTCAGTTTAACGTCAACGCTTTTTCTTTCATGCTCCTCAAAATTGTACAAATTGTTACAAAGATTAAAATGAATGAAATTGGTAGCCAAATGAGTAAAGGGAAGAAGAAAAAAACCATGCTATCGGTAATGTTCGGCCATTTCCACCCTCGTCTGTACCAACAATTTTGTGAACTATTCGTGGTATACTGGTCGGAGTACGCCTTCCACTACAAAGTAGAATTAGGGTCAAAATATTGGAACATGTTTTTGTTAAATTGAATGCATTTTAGTTTTAAAGCTAAATGTGTTTTAAGGTGATGTCATTTTTAAAAAGCCTGTATTTTAGAAGTTTAGTAGATATTTTTCAAAAACCGAACAAACTCTTAAGGATCTCGTTTCTTTTTTAGATTCCGAATCGAGTGAATTTTTAAAGAGTGAATGAAGTTTTATATACTCAACGTAATCTCTAGGATTGAATGAATTTTTAAAGTTCGAAGTTCTTTTAAAATAGAACAAACAAAAACTTTATGATGTGAACATTTTTGTTGAAATTTAGACATTTTTTACAACGAATCGGCTTACGTATTTTACGATACGATCTGATCTGAGAAAGCATCCGAATTGAGAACGCACCCAAAACCCGCGTGTAAGGAGTATTCGATTTTTAAGACAGCATTCTACGAAAGCCTCAGAGTGCTTCAAGTATATTTTTTTTTTAAGTGAAGCATAGTTTCCCAGATTGTTTTCACAAGTTGCTTTTTATTCGTGGTTGGTTATTAATTTGGATTTATGTTAATTTGGATGCCCTCTCATTTAGGATCGCATGAGATTTTGTGTAAAATACGTGTACCGATTAGCTGCTTTACGCTGAAAAAGTGTTCCCATTTCCAAAATATGTTCAATGTATTCAAAAATATTTAATTTCAATCTGAAAAAAATTTTGACTCTAAAAATTCGTTCCAATCTTGAAAAATTTTGGCTTTGTAGAAATTTACGTTTTTTGAAAACTCCTGGGAATCTAGAAAATACACTGCGTCAATGGAAATTCACCCACTCTTTAAAAATTCATTCGAATCTAGAAAAAATTTTATTAAATCCTCAAAATTTCATTCTGCTTTTGAAAATTTATTTTCCTAAATTCCTAAAATACGAAAATTTAAAAAATGGCATTCACTTTAAAGTACGCTCAGTTTGAAAAATGCTTTCCATTTATCAAAACATGTTCCAATATTTTCAACCCTAGTTCTGCTTCGTAATTGGGGAGTACTCCGACCGATATAACCCGGACAGTTCACAAAATTTGGTACAGACGCAGCCGGAAATGCCCGAATATTAACGATATCATCCGAATGGTCTTTTTCTTCTCCCTTTAATCATTCTGGCTACCAGTTTTATTCATTTCAATCTTTTGAATAATTTTTACAATTTTGAGGAGCATTAATTAAAGAAAAAGTGTTGACGTTAAACTGAATTTAAATATGGACAGGATAAGTTTGGAATAGTATAGTTCGACTATTCCCGGAAATCTGGGGGAGTGTTGGTCACGTTGACGTTGAGTGATACAGGACCCTTGATTAGAAAAGCAGTCGGGATCATTGGGTGTGGTATTCAGGCTGAGTCTTAATATGTAGCGAGTTGAACTAGTTTAGCTAACTCACCGCGGTAAGATAGTACGTGTATCTCGAAAATATTATTTTGCTTCCGTAGATTTATGTATCTACTGCTATTATCTTGTCTTCTGTGTTGCCTGTGCTTCTTTTATATTCTGCGCTTCCAATTTCTCCTGAAATTTCCGCAGATCTCCAAGAACCGTTGCTAGTGCTGGTCGCCTGGCAGAGTTCTTATGGCAGCACCTTCTGCCTAGGTTTCTGATATACCTCAGGTCTTTGTTCGTGAGAGCAATGTCTTTCAGCAGAATTCCAAGGCTGTACACGTCACTGGCTTCACTGCATTTAGAGGTGCCTTCAACGATATCTGGAGCGATCTGCTGGCAATTTTTGTAGTAATGAGCCTTCACGTTTTTGCAAAATTGGTTTAGTGGAGGTGGATTGCTGATCTTACAGGCTTTGCCCAAGTCAATGATTTTTGCAGTAACTTGGCCGGTAAGTGGGTCTGAGCACACCAGGGCGTTGCCATTGTGAAGATCATTGTGCAGCCAACCTTCCCCGTGCAGTGCCATGAGACCTTGAGTGATGTCGATGGAAATGCGCGCTCGGTCTACTGTGGTCAAGAGGCTTCTGTCCAACATACAGGTGTGGACACTCTTTGTCTCATGGGTTGTCAAGTCTCCTACAAACTCCATGGCGAAAGAGCTTTCATCTATGATCCCAATGAATCTCGGGAATTCACGCAGGCCGTTGACAGCCATCATGGCCTTGATTTCCACAAGCATCTCTCGATATGCTTTCTGTGGCAGGCCGGAGGTCTTTAGTCGTTTCACTGCCATGAGGGTACCGTCTGATTTTCGTCGCATAAGTAGCACTTCCCCGAAGTCGCCCATGCCCAGGCGTAGCGGGCCACCCTGGGTATTCAACACGCTTTCGATGTCGGATGGGTCCAAACACGGGATAGTGATGGGTGAGGTAGGACTACTCAAAGTAGACGATGCTGAGGAGCTGCCATGGGAGGACTTCTGCTTCTTACTCGCACTCTGGCCCTCCTCTGGTGACGGCCTCGGTCCTAAATTTAATTTCCTTAGCAAATGGGGATAGAAATCATTTTTTTAATGCAGCGGAGCTTCTTATGCCTATTGTAAAATAACTTACTTCACTGTTCAAATATAGAAAAAATTGAGCAAATATCACTTGCGGTTGCACGTTTAAATCGGACTGACTATGTGAGATATAATCCATCTAGAAAAACTGAACTGAAATAAATATCGATATGTCAATCATCATTATGTCTACTTGGAAGAGCTTGCCGCAGACTGTTCAACAGGGAGATCCTTGATCACACACGAGACCAGCATCTATGAAGATTCACGTATATACATGTATGTACAGGACAAAAGAAAGCGAACTACCAAAAAGGAGCGCCAGAGATCTCAACAGCCACTCTTGGCAAGATAATGTTCATGCCCCCACACTGTGGCCATTCATTATGCAGAGATAAGGTAGGTCTTATTAGCCATTGCAAACACATCCCTCTCGATGGTGTGTTCTATTTTTATTTTTAACTCGCCTGAATTGACTTATATCACATCCTTTCACTTATCGCATTAATCTTTAGTGGTCTATTTAATTCTATTGTTGAAGATGGTCCTCTTCTCATGGAGGATGAAAATTCTTCTTATTTTTATGTCAACTATAAACCATCCTCATGTTTCCAAAAAAATGTAATATAGTTTGTGTATGTCTAACTGTTTTACGTGGAACAGTGTCTTATTTCGGCACTTCCTTG